ACAAAAGTGTGTTTTTTCAATATGGCGGCCAAAGTATCGCTTCCGGTCTGGATTTTATTTTAAAATCGGCCATAAAATTTTATTTGCCAAAGATCAGCCAAATTTTGTTGGCCTACATAAATTACACCGGAAGTTATTCAACCGGAAGTAGATTTGAACTTCAGTCGCTTTCCTGTTTAAGATCGGAAATGACGTACAAAATTTGACTGTATCATATTATTAACATTAGTGAAGTCTCTTTGCATTTAAAATTTCAGATCAATCGATGCAAAAGCAAAAAAGTTGCAAAAAAATCGAAAAATTTGATCGAAAAAAGTGAGCGACGAATTTTCGAATTTCGTAATTTTTCAAGTGCTATCAGGTCAGAAATTACAGGTAGATTGTAAAAATGAAAACCCGAAGAAAATCGATGCAAAAATGCGCCTTCTAGAGCCGATTTTCGACTTTTTGCACATGTTGAACTGTGGCACTTCCGGTTTTGCAAAAATGTTCCAATTTATATTTATGCACATCGTCACCTATATAGAAGGTCTATGAAATTCGAAACGTTACTACAACTACTGCAGTCTAAGCTCGAGAAGGTGTGGACGAAACGAAAAAAAAAAAAAAAAAAAAAAAAAAAAAAAAAAAAAAAGAAAAAAAAAAGAATGGACATTTCGATAACAAACTGGGACTTTGCGGTAGCAAAGTCCCACAATAAAAAATGACTTATACCTCAGGTTCTCAGCATCTTTTCTAATATTAATCTTATTTGTTTTATCACGTACATTTAGTGATGAATCTTGTGTATTGACTATCAACCCATTAACTATCTGTATAGTTAGAAACTCTGATAATACCTTCTCTACTTCACTCCATAGGTGATCTTTCCTGCTCTGACTGCAATAAGAACATTTTTTAATTTCAGGTACTAAGCTCAGGGTTCATATTATTGGATTACATAATGAAATGCGTCAAATTTTTCAAGGCATGTAATTTGCTAAAATGGATGAGATTGTCATACTAGGTCTCAATTTGGAAATCTATTTGATATAATGTTGACAAAAGACATGGAAATTGATATACTTTAGATTGTCCTAGACAGGACAAATTCAATTTAAAGTAAAATTTCAAATCACAATATTAGTTGAAATAATATAGATGTCTGTCTTAATGAACGTAATATGGGTCATTATATACCAAATAATGTATAGAATACTAAAATATTGTACTAATGTTAACAAAATCAAATTCTGTCAAATTACTATCATATAGGCTTGTACAAATCGGTAGTCCTATTTCATTTTTTTCTATTATTTAATACTCCCTTTGTTCAACAATATACTTACAAGACTGCCTTGTCTGAAGAAAAATTTCCTTTAAATGTATCATGTAAAAACTCCTCAAACTTTTCACAACTGTCTCTGACATTTTTCTGAAATCAAAATAGAATAGAGTTTATGTTCTACTCTTCTGTTTGGCACTGTGCTAATCAAGAGAGATAACTCTGAACAGAATTTATTTCACCATCTGAATGACAAACATTTTATTCACGTCAGTGCCTCCATTATTATCATTATTCCTAAATTAACTTTAGTAGGGCTGCAACGAGTCACCGATGAATCGTTGAACCGCGATTCTTTCCTTCTTATTGATGCATTGCGTTGGATAAAAATATAGTGACGTATTGGCACGATTATTTCTTAGCCCCCTATAATAACATATGACACAGAATCCTTGTGTGTATAAGAAATTGTGTCATGTTTTCATTTTCCAAGTATGATTTTCACATTAAAATTTGCAAAAATTCACTTCTGACTTTAAAAATTGAGATTTTTTGCACAATTCCTTACTTCTAAATCTTCTCAAGTGCTTAATACTGACCAAAATTGTAAGTAATTATACAAATTTATATTTTTTCTCTTTCCTTCTCACATAATGAATCATGATATCAAAATAATCGTATATCGTTGGATGAGTATCGTATAGTGTATCGAATCGCAACTTCAAGATTCATTAGCAATTATTATGATGATTTAAAAAAAGATTAAGAATAAAAGGAACAATAATATTAAAGGAACTAACCCCACAAACTGTTTCTAGACGTTTATCTGGTTGGTCACTCGATTTAGTTATAAATAATGGTTCACCACTTACATCAACTCTGCAATTAATATCACAATATTAACTATCTGATCAAAATACATATCTAGCGAATTATTCCATTTTCATTCATGATCTGATGAAATTCTTATTTTAATTGTGTTAAAAACAAAGAATCATATTTGGTAAAAGAAGTCACCCACAAAAAATAAATCAAAACATCATCTCCATCTGCATAATTAGATTACAATACGAAAGCCAACAAATGGATTATGAATATACAAATCCAGTTGAAGTCAACTCCAGTTGAAAGTATCTTATCTACTATGATTTTGTGTAATAACTCTAGTTTTAGAAGTATCTACGTTCTGTGTTTCTTGTGTAATAGCTCTAGCTTTAGAGGCATCTACTCACTGTGTATTTGTGTAATAGCTCTAGTTTTAGAAGTATATATTTACTGTGTATTTGTGTAATAGCTCTAGTTTTAGAAGTATATATTTACTGTGTATTTGTGTAATAGCTCTAGCTTTAGAAGTATATATTTACTGTGTATTTGTGTAATAGCTCTAGTTTTAGAAGTATATATTTACTGTGTATTTGTGTAATAGCTCTAGTTTTAGAAGTATCTACGTTCTGTGTTTCTTGTGTAATAGCTCTAGCTTTAGAGGCATCTACTCACTGTGTATTTGTGTAATAGCTCTAGTTTTAGAGGCATCTACTCACTGTGTATTTGTGCAATAGCTCTAGCTTTAGAGGCATCTACTCACTGTGTATTTGTGCAATAGCTCTAGTTTTAGAGGCATCTACTCACTGTGTATTTGTGTAATAGCTCTAGTTTTAGAGGCATCTACTCACTGTGTATTTGTGCAATAGCTCTAGTTTTAGAGGCATCTACTCACTGTGTATTTGTGTAATAGCTCTAGCTTTAGAGGCATCTACTCACCGTGTATTTGTGTAATAGCTCTAGTTTTAGAAGTATCTACTTACTGTGTTTCTTGTGTAATAGCTCTAGCTTTAGAGGCATCTACTCACTGTGTATTTGTGTAATAGCTCTAGTTTTAGAGGCATCTACTCACTGTGTATTTGTGTAATAGCTCTAGCTTTAGAGGCATCTACTCACCGTGTATTTGTGTAATAGCTCTAGTTTTAGAAGTATATACTTACTGTGTATTTGTGTAATAGCTCTAGTTTTAGAAGTATATACTTACTGTGTATTTGTGTAATAGCTCTAGCTTTAGAAGTATATATTTACTGTGTATTTGTGTAATAGCTCTAGTTTTAGAAGTATATACTTACTGTGTATTTGTGTAATAGCTCTAGTTTTAGAAGTATATACATACTGTGTTTTTTGTGTAATAGCTCTAGCTTTAGAATTATATACTCACTGTGTATTTGTGTAATAGCTCTAGTTTTAGAAGTATATACTTACTGTGTATTTGTGTAATAGCTCTAGTTTTAGAAGTATCTACTTACTGTGTATTTGTGTAATAGCTCTAGTTTTAGAAGTATATACTTACTGTGTATTTGTGTAATAGCTCTAGTTTTAGAAGTATATACTAACTGTGTATTTGTGTAATAGCTCTAGTTTTAGAAGTATATACTTACTGTGTATTTGTGTAATAGCTCTAGTTTTAGAAGTATATACTTACTGTGTATTTGTGTAATAGCTCTAGTTTTAGAAGTATATACTTACTGTGTATTTGTGTAATAGCTCTAGTTTTAGAAGTATATACTTACTGTGTATTTGTGTAATAGCTCTAGTTTTAGAAGTATATACTTACTGTGTATTTGTGTAATAGCTCTAGTTTTAGAAGTATATACTAACTGTGTATTTGTGTAATAGCTCTAGTTTTAGAAGTATATATTAACTGTGTATTTGTGTAATAGCTCTAGTTTTAGAAGTATATACTTACTGTGTATTTGTGTAATAGCTCTAGTTTTAGAAGTATATACTTACTGTGTCTTTTGTGTAATAGCTTTAGTTTTAGCATGTAATTTTTCTGTAAAATGGTCGTAATTTAAGACAGTTTCTTGACATTGTTGTGAGTAAATCTCTAACAGACTAGATTTCTTCTCTAGATCTTCTATATTATCTACAGCTTTTCTATATTCACTCTCTATAAGTAGTAAATAAAATGAAAGTTTAAGATTTTTGTTTCCGTACCCTCTGCAGACAGCACATTTCTAACTCTGTGAGATCTCTAATTAAGTCAAAGGCCTTTAGCTTTTATCTTTCTCATCTGACCC